AAAAAAAAAAAAAAACTAGTCTAATTGTGAAGGCCCCTTTATTAACTGAATGAAAGTGCACTCTTAAGCCGCTGGCGGACATTGGTCTCTGCATCCTTGGAATTCCGGCAGTCATGGAGTGTTAGGAGGTGTTACATGGTTTGGGGTTTAGGGTTTACAGGGTTTAAAGGGTTTAAGGTTTAGGGCTTACAGAGTTTATAGGGGTTTACGCTTTAATTCTGGGTGGTTGTTCTGATAGGTGCCAGTGTCAATCCTGATCAGAGTCCTACCAAGTTCATTAGACAGAACCCTAAAGCCTAAACCCTAAACCCTAAACCGTGCGGATGGCAGCATGGGTTCCCTTTCAAGACTGAGGCTTTACCCAGCTCGGCGGGCCAGCTTTTGATTTCCTCGTGAAGGGTGCAGGCAGGGTGTAGTGTAGGGGCGTTAATAATTAGAACAAGGCTTTGGGGTATATTATACTATACTTATAATATGGCACACCCAAAATAGTAGTGGTACTTAATCTTAAGGCCCCTACATTAGGCGATGAGAGGGTCGGAGCTGTGATTCTTCTCGATTGTGAAGGCCTAAATATAAAGATCCCTGTTGCCAAGGCCTAGATATCAATATCCCTTGCGTACGGGCCTTAACCTTGAACTCCCTATTATCATCCTCCCGAAGAGAGGGGGATTCTGAAGCAGGATGTCTACATGGACATGCAGGCGGAAGCCTCGATAAATAAGGTGCGCCCGGTTGTACCAGAGGAGGCATTGGTGCTGGGCTGGCCAGGCTCTGCAGCAAAGGCGGACACGCCAGGCCCTGCCCTAAACCCTAAACCCTAAACCCCAAACCCTAAACCCTAAAGGCCCTAAACCTTTAAACCCTAAACCCAAAACCTTAAACTCTAAAGCCCAATTGGTAGCCCGGCTGTATCGGACCTTTGGCGCTGTATGGTGCAGGTGGTGCCTTAGGCATGGACTTAGAGGTACCCGGTGCTGCCCGGTGAGGCCTTGGAAGTGGACCCATCCTTGGAGTACTGCACCCGCTGTGGTGTCCGACTCAGACGGCAGTCGACGAGAAAGAAGGGCAGGTTCTCCAAAGAATTGTCCGGCTGGACCTCCACCTGGGTGGTTGTCAAAATTATGGTCCCTTTTTGGGTCCTTATTATAATACGGCACCTATTATTTAGGGTACCCCAAAAAGGACCATAATTTTGACAACCACCCACCTCGAGAACCAGAACACGGCAGAACACTCTTGCCTCCGGACCCCCTTCGCCCGGAGCCACTGCCGCCTGTCAGGCTCCACCCGTGCTTTGTCTTGCGCAACAGATGTACCCCGAGACCCGACCAGCCCTTCTTTAAGACCCCCGAGTCATGCTAAGCTCGCCCATTTATTGAAGGCCTGTGACAGTAGGACATTAGGACTCACCCAAGCTTGTCAAAACCATACATCCTAAACCCATAGCTCTAAACCTCTTACAGAAGCCTATGGGCACCTGATAAGACCGGTTAACGAACGCTGAAGTTCCGATTGAACGCCGCTGAAACCACAACAACACATTAAACGCAACCCTTATCCAATCCTAAAGCCACGATACCCGTAACACCCTTGTGAAACCCTTAACCCCTAAACCCTAAACCCGAACCCCTAAACCCGAAAACCTAAACCCTAAACCCCAAACCCCTAAACCCTAAACCGCCAAACCCCTAAACCCCTAAACCCTAAACCCTAAACCGGAACTCGGCCAAGCTGAGGCCTTGCTTGCAGAAAGCCTACAGCAACCCTTTGATAAATCAAGACCTTTGTTCGAGGACCCCCGAGGCCCGGACACCACCTGCGGAGAGCGATGAGCAGGTGGATTAAAAGGCCTCGAAGTGGGGTTTAGGGTTTAGGGTTTAGAGTTTTAGGGTTTAGAGTTTTAGGGTTTAGAGTTTTAGGGCTTAGCATTTTAGGGTTTAGAGTTTTAGGGTTTAGAGTTTGAAGGTTTAGAGCTTTAGGGTGCAGGGCTTCAGTTTCAGGTTCTACAGGAAATTAATGTGGTTGTATCGGGGTGTCACATGGTTCAAGAGAGCTTGATATGTTTTTCTTTAAGCATTATTTAATAGGTTGCTGTAAGAGTACCATGAGAGTTCAGGGCTTTAGGGTCTAATGTTTCGAGCCTCAGAATCAAACGGGTATACAAAGGATCCAGATATGAGTTCTGCCGGGTTCTCTCGTGGTGTTTCTGTAAGTGTCTAAAAATGCATTTGCAACCATGCCGAGCAGCGCATGCTGACTATTAGGATATATATATATATATATATACCTATACATGTACATTCAAAGCTGTACCGTCTAGCTCGTCTAGCTAAGCTAGAAGAGCTAGAAGGGCAAGAAGATTGCAGGTTCCAGCTCTCCTAGCGAAGCTAAAACCATCGGAATGCACGGTAGCTGTGCAGGCCTCGAGGGGAAGCGGCGTCACATAGTACATGAAGGTCCCCCTATCCCCCCTCCACCACCCCTAAACCCAGAACTCTAAGCCCTAAACCCTAAACCCTAAACCCACCCCACAAGGTTCTCCGGGGCATCAGCGAGTTGGTCATGGAGCCCGGACGACTGGGCGGCCTGACGGGTAAGGCACTCTTTCGTGGCTTTCGCACATGTTTTGACAAGCTGACGTTTGGGCTTGAGGGTTAGGGCTTGCGGCTGGGGGTGCGAGGGCCTAGAGGTGACCCATAGGCCCTAAAGTAGTTCCTTTTGGGGGTTACCTTCTAGGATTCTATATATGAACCCCAAAAAGGAACTACTATGGGGCCTATATATGTGTAGGGTTGGAGGGTATGGGTTTAAGGTCTAAGCTCTGCAGGGCTTCAGCGCATGCGGTCTTTGATAGGTTGCTTTAGGCCTCGAGTCGAGGCAGCATCAAGAAGTTCGACGAGTAAGCAGGCTAATGTTATGAGTACGTTTACTGGGCCCACGTATCAAAACCAACCACACAACAGTTCTCGTAAAACTGACAGTCGCGTTCTGGAGAGTTCGGTGAAAATACGACGAGCAGTAACAATCATTGCCACCATTGTTTTTGCTGGAGCTATAACAAGAGTAACAACTTATAAACCGATCCTTCAAAACCTTTGTACAGGTCTCATGAAGTCCTGTAGCACCCATGTGAAACCGACAGAACACCGCCTTCGCTGAATCACCGGATCCTTCAATGCAAATACCAGTACCTCCCTAAACCCAAAACCCTAAACCCTAAACCGTAGTTACTAGTGCCTTAAACTTAAACCTTCAAGTACCTCCCTAAACCCTAAACCCTAAACCGTAGCTACTAGTGCCTTAAACTCAATACCTTCAAGCTCCACCCCGCCAAACTCAGGCTCCACACCCAATCCCGAAGCCCTGAGCCTCAAAGCCCTGCTTTGCCAACCCAGGAAGCCCAATGCCCCTTCATGCTTCGACTAGGTCTTTCTACAAGAAATCTATATTTTTGAGGAGGAAAAACCGCGTACATCCCAAGAGTTGTAGGGCTTAGCTTCGGGACTTAAGGTATCTTCATTCCTCGAAGGCTATTCAACCCCTAAACCCTAAACCCTAAACCCTACCTCTGAAGTTACGTTTAGGGCTTACGTGCGCTTTTTTCGGACCGTCGCGAGAAACCACCCGGACCTGTGCTGCATCGGCATCATGCCAGGCGGCTGCATCATCCTTGCAGTTGGAGGAGTGGAGGGTGTGCGGTTTAGGGTTTAAGAGTGTAGGGTTTGGGGTTTATGGCTTTAGGGTTTGGGGTTTGGGGTTTAGGGTTTAGGAGTGTGGGGTTTGGGGTTTATGGCTTTAGGGTTTGGGGTTTGGGGTTTAGGAGTGTAGGGTTTGGGGTTTATGGCTTTAGGGTTTGGGGTTTGGGGTTTAGGGTTTAGGAGTGTAGGGTTCAGGGTTTGGGGTTTAGGGTTTAGCGTTTAGGGTTTAAAGTTTAGGGTTTCGGGTTTAGGGTGCTTGGGTTTAGACTTTTGGGCCCTGGCGCCTCTGTCTAGAGTTCAGGTCTCAGAGAGGAGTTCTGGTGTATGGTTTTCGGCTTTTTGTGGGCTCAGCTTCGAATTTCTCTATCCCTTGCTGCGCAGCTTGAGGAGTCAACGGGCAGGGATTCCTATTGTGTCTCGAGGTTCATGTGTTGGTACAGGGCTATCGAGGTGGAGTGGCCCAAAACCCCTAAACCCTAAACCCCTAAACCCCTAAACCCTAAACCCCTAAACCCCCAAGCCCTAAACCCTAAACTCTCAACATGGGTTCAGAGCCCAGGTTTCGTGCTGGGTAGCCAGCCCTTGTACCGTTTACCATGAAACAGTCCTTCGTTCTGTGCCAGAGTCTCTTCCAGCCCACCTAAGCCCTTAACCCTAAAAGGTAGGCCCCCATGTAGAAGCCTGAATAATTACCAAAATTTTTCCTTAGGGTTGCTTGTTTTTAGTATACCATAAAGGAGCCCAAAACCCTAGACTGATTATTAAGGCCGCTATAATATGCTATAGGTCGTACAACGCCTCATCTCGACGTGCTGAACCCTGAAGCCTCAGCCCTCTTCCGGACCTCTTGTATAAACTCCAGGTCCTTACAGCCTAGACGGCAACCCGTACTCCTCTGAACCTCTAAACCCGACTATATTACCGTCCCAAGCCAGGCACCTAAGAACCTGCTAGATAGCAGTGGTTAGCAGCCTTAGTGGTATGAGTAGCACGCCAACCCCCAAACCCTAAACCCTAAACCCCCAAACCCTAAACCCTAAACCCCTAAACCCCTAAACCCCTAAACCCTTAAACCCCTAAACCCTAAACCCTGTTTCCAGTAAGCCCATGCCTGAGGCCAAGTTCATCGTGCCCGGTGTCGGAGACTTCGGCACGGGCCCCACAAAGCTGCTTTGCAAATCCCTAAACCCCTAAACCCCTAAACCCCTAAACCCCGAACCCCTAAACCCCTAAACCCTAAAACCATAAACCCCTAAACCCTGAAGCCCTTGCCCCTGAGCCTGCTCAGGACGAAGGCTGTGGGTGTTTAGGGCTTAAGGTCTTCTGATGGGCCTGCCTGCGGCGTCTTCAGTCTGCGTCTTCAAAAGGAACAAACTTTCATCCCCCACAGATCCTAAACCCTAAACCCTAAGCCCTGAGCCCTAAACCCTCAGCCCTAAACCCTACACCCTAAACCCTACAGCCTAAACCCTACACCCTAAACCTAGGGCATCCTCCGGCCCCAATCTGGTGCGTATGTGTCAGGGTTCGCCAGTTCCGTTTCGAGCCTCGGGCTTGGGGTTTAGGACTTGGTGCCTGGGTTCGGACTGGTTTGGACCATTTCGAAGTCGTTCTTTCCGAGATTTCGTGGGGTGCAGGTAGGGTTGGGGCCAGGGTGTTGCAGGAGCTGGGAAGTGATTTCAAAACCAACAGTGCTTCCTCCTCTACCAATTGCGGTTAGGACAGAGACAGTTAGGATTTGCATGCAAGCACGAGCGTCATCGGATTTGCACTTTTGCCCACTACCTCAACCCTCATCCGACATAGGGTCTGCTCGTACTGAGGCGACCGATACTACGGCACCTTTGGCTATGCAGAAGGCCTCCGGTTTCCGCCTAGTCAGGGAGCGGACAGGGTGTAGGGTTTTGCCCCAGAGTCCGTCAATGTGCGCAGATAAGCCACGCTACCGGTAGCAATGGCTCCCTGACGCCACGTTTGTGATCATAGTAGCATCAAGATGTATATCAAAACTTGCTATCAGTATTCCCCAAATACTGGAGTTTGGGGTTTAGAGTTAGGAAGTAGGAGTTCGGCTTCTGGGTTTGGGGTGCCGGGCGTGAGGTTCGGGTCGTGCGGGCCATGTTTTCGTCGTTTTTGTGGGCAGTTTGAGTTGAAACTTCCCTAAACCCTAAACCCTAAACCCTAGACTTCCAGCAAGAACGCCCGTTCTATCTTGTCTGGCAGCTGCTGGATTTCAGGTATCATCTTCAGCCCCGAAGCCTTAAACCAAGAAACCTTCTGTCCGAAGCGAGGCAGGCCCAAATATTGTTCCCTGAACCCTAAACCCTACACCTTCAACACTAAACTCTAAACTGAAACGCTTGCAACCCGTAGAAAGTTGCTTAGTCATTGTGCTAGGAGCAGGCAGAAGTCCTGATGGCTGACACTGACTGACGAATGTCCGACCGAACTCTTAAACCCTAAACCCTAAAACCCAAATCCCAAACTTGGGCGAATCCAACGCCTACAACCGGAGCTTCTCTGGAACCCAGGTTAGGTGCTTCAGAAACTTCAGCAAGTCAATCAAGTTTGTCTCGAAATTCAGAATGAACAACAGGGTTTAGGGTTTAGGGTGCTGCAGAAAGTCGGGTATTCAGAACATCAGAGAATAAGCAGTCAGATAATTCACCTTAGCCTCAAGCAAAAATTTTCAAGAGGCTTGTGGGGTACTGGACGATCGCGGATTTGATGAGCGCGAGGGAGATCTGTCTGAAATTTTCAGGGCTCCTCTACGGTTCTGTCTGAAGAGTTCCGGATCTTAATTTTAGGGCATTCATAGTTAGAACAGGGTGTTGGGGGGTATATTATAGAATAATTAAGTTTGTACAGACTCATTTCTTTCGCCCGTCTGTGCCGGGGGGCGGCTTAGCCGGGACTCTGCACTGCGAGCCGCAGTGCCTTGTCCGGGTGCCGTGATGGGGCAGACCTCCTCACTCCTCACACTCCGTGTGGGAGTAATATTGATAATAGTAACATTAGTAACAGTCATAACAATAACAGTAGTAAGAAAGGAAACATCAAATAACAGCACTATCTAGCAACAGTAACGTTGACTAACAATAACAGTAATCTACTACTCCTACATCATGTCATGTCGAACTCTAAGGTTGGCTGACCAAGTATCTGGTTGGGCATGGGCAGTTCTCTAAACGAGGGTCCCTCTTAGGTGCCCCCAAAAAAGTATGGCACCGTAATAAGAAAGGATTCTGGAAGGGACACTATTTTAGAGAGCTACCCATATACTGATCACAGAAGCGTTGTTCGTTCTTCCACATCTTCAAAGGGCACGACATCGTGATGGGGGAGATGTAGCAGAAGCAATCCATGTAGTTGCATGCATGTGTGTGCGTATGTATATATATATACACACATGTATATGGTGTAAGCTTAGGGGTTTAGGTTTCGGCTTGTGGGTACTCAGAGGCTGAGGAGATTTAGCAAGTCGGCCATAAGCCGGGTTGCCTGAACTGTCCGTATCGTGATCCTTTTTTGGGGTTCTCGATTTCATGAATCTATAAGTGTATCCAACTAATGCCCGAAACCCTAAGCCCGAAGCCCTGAACCCTAACCCTAAGCTCTAAACCCCAAACCCTAAACCCTAAATTTAAAATTCTAAACTCTAAACCCTAAACCCCAAACCCCAAACCCTAAACCCTAAACCCCAAACCTTAAAACCCCGAAGCCCTAACCCATAACCCTAAACCTCTAAAGATTTAGATTTGAAAACCCCGAAGCCCTAACCCTCAACCCTCAACCCTAAACCCCAAACCTTAAAACCCCTAAACCCTAAACCCAAAGCCCTACACCCCAAACCCTTAAACCCCGAAGCCCTAACCCTAAACCC